ACAAGCATGAGCCGCCATGCTCAGGCCTATGATAGATAGGCCTTTTAAGATGTGTTTTCAGACTTTTGCATTTCTGACTGTCGGATGATTCTACCGAGTGACTCCTCTGTGACCCTACCCAGAAGCAGACTCAATGTACAAGGACCATCTTCCACACCCCTATGATTGCATCACCAACCAGTCAGCAGCTCCCATTCCCTAGCCTCCTGCCTGCCAAACTATCCTTGAAAAACCCTAGTCTCTGAATTTGGGGGAGGCTGGTTTGAGTAATCATAAAGCTCTGGTCTCCCATATAGCCAGCGCTGCATGAATTGAATTCTTTCTCTGTTGCGATTCCCCTGTCTTGATAAATTGGCTCTGTCTGGGCAGCAGGCAAAAGGAAGGCATTGGATGGTTACACTACGGACCAAGCACTGACTCTCCAGACCAAATGCTGCAGAGGCTGTAGTGAGAGTTCTATTGTCACATGCAGTTGGGACACTGTATTTCAATCTCGTCCCTGAATGCTCTGGCTCCCCTCCCTTCTTAGGAACATCCTCTCTCTCCAGAATGGAACCCCAATCATCACTGGGGTAACAACTCTGCAAAGCTGGTTCTGCAGGCTTGCTCTCCCCATCAGAATGTCCCCTCCTGCGTGTTGTTCAGCATTGCTACTTACTCTGCTTTGCATTAGACTTACAATAACTTTAGTGGCTACAGTAACTTGAGTAGCAATGCCTACTACTGGGCCTCTGTGTGCTCTGTGGACTTCTGGCTGCCAGTATGTGGCTCTCTGTGCCTTGAACCTTTTTTTGAACCATGGGAACTTACTCTGCTCCCACTTGCTGAAAGCCCACCCCTCACACACAACTGGCAAAGACTGATGGAGTGGGTGTGTAACTTCCGAAGGGGATGGATCTGTAGGTTGATAGATTTCCACGAGGTTATTTAAGGGTATATGTTGGCCATGCACAGTGGTTCATGTCTGTAATCCCAGCACCTTGGGAGACCTAGGTAGGCGGATCACTTGAGGCCAGGAGTTTGAGACCAGCCTGGCCGACATGGCGAACCCCTGCCTTAATGAAAAATTCAAAAAGGAGCCGGGCGTCGTGGCATACGACTTAATCCCAGCTACTCGGGAGGTTGAAGCAGAGAATAGCTTGAACCTGGGAGGCAGAGGCTGCAATGAGCCAAGATTGTGCCACTGCACTTTAGCCTGGGCGACCGAGTGAGATTCTGTCTCAAAGGAAAAAAAAATGTATATGTGTCAGAAATGTGTAAATCAGAGCAACTTCATCTTAAATACAGGCTAGGTCAATGAGGCTGAGTGCTACTGGGCTGCACTCCCAGGTGGTTAAGGCAGTCCAGGTCACAAGATGAGATAGGAGGTTGGCGCAAGATACAGGTCATAAGACCTCGCTGATAAAACAGTTTGCCATAAAGAAGCTGGCCAAAGCCCACCAAAACCAAGATGGTGACAAGAGTGACCTCTGGTCATCCTCGCTGCTACATTCTCACCAGCGCCATGACAGTTTACAAATGCCATGGCAATGTCAGGAAGTTACCCTCTATGTTCTAAAAAGGGGAGGCATGAATAATCCACCTTTTCCTTAGCATATCATCAAGAAATAACCATAAAAGTGGGCAACCAGCGGCCCTCACGGCTGCTCTGTCTATGGAGTAGCCATTCTTTTATTTTATTCCTCTAATTTCTTTTTTTTTTTTTTTTTTTTTTGAGATGGAGTCTCGATTCTGTTGCACAGGCTGGAGTGCAGTGTTGCCATCTCGGCTCACCAAAACCTCCACCTCCTGGGTTCAAGTGATTCTCCTGCCTCAGCCTCCCGAGCAGCTGGGACTACAGGCATGTGCCACCACGCCCAGCTAATTTTTGCATTTTTTAGTAGAAATGGGATTTCACAATGTTGGCCAAGCTGGTCTCAATCTCTTGACCTCATGATCCGCCCACCTTAGCCTCCCAAAATGCCGGGATTACAGGCTTGAGCCACCATTCCTGGCCTAACTCTGAATTATTTATTGTGCAAGATCCAAGAACCCTCTCTTGGTGTCTGGATCAGAACCTCTTATATGTCTGCTGCTTAAACCTCACCTCCCAGGCCTTAGTGCTGAGCCAAGGTGCAGGTGTCACTGAGAACTCAAACCTCCCAGAGCGTATCTGGGAACGTAACCAAGGAAAACAGTCTAATTGCATACATAGGCAAAGAGCCAGACAGTTAGCTTCAAAGTAGCGTAGAGACAGACGGGTAGCAGGGCAGGTCTCTGAAGGCACCCTGCTGCTAGCTAGGAGTCCCTCTATTTAACTCCTCATAAACTGGTGTACTCGCCATGCAGGACTTGTCAGAGTTCTCTGGTCTCTTGGCTCTTTCCCAGCTTGGGGGAACGTTCTTCTGCACAATCTCGAGTGTTCCCCATGACAGGGTCTCATGCCACTTCCCAGTGGCTTGACCTCTGACTGTCCTTTGCTAAATCATGCACTCTGTTTTTTAATTTTTATTTTTGTGGAGACAAGATTTCGCTATGTTGCCCAGGCTGGTCTCAAATTCCTCCCAAAGTGCTGGGATTACAGGCATGAGCCACCATGCCCTGCTTATCATGCACCCTTTTTTTTTTTTTTTTTTTTTTTTTTGAGATGGAGTCTCACTTTGTTGCCCAGGCTGGCATGCAGTGTGGCATGATCACAACTTACTGCAGCCTCAATCTCCTGGACTCAAGCGATCCTCCCACCTTTTTTTTTTTTGAGATGGAGTCTCACTTTGTTGCCCAGGCTGGCATGCAGTGTGGAATGATCACAACTTACTGCAGCCTCAATCTCCTGGACTCAAGCGATCCTCCCACCTTTTTTTTTTTTTTTTTTTTTGAGATGGAGTCTCACTTTGTTGCCCAGGCTGGCATGCAGTGTGGCATGATCACAACTTACTGCAGCCTCAATCTCCTGGACTCAAGCGATCCTCCCACCTCAGCCCCCCAAATAGCTGGGACTACAGACTTACACCACTAAACCTAGCTACTTTTTAAACTTTTTGTAGGCTGGGTGCAGTGGCTCATGTCTGTAGTCCCAGCACTTTGGGAGGCCAAGGCAGACAGATCACTTGAGGTCAGGGGTTTGAGACCAGTGTGGCCAACACGGTGAAAGCCCATCTCTACTAAAAGTACAACAATTAGCCGGACATGGTGGCACGAGCCTGTAGTCTCAACTACTCAGGGGGATGAGGCAGGAGAATCACTTGAACCTGGGAGGTGGACGTTGCAGTGAGCTGAGATCATGCCACTGCACTCCAGCCTGGGAGACAGAGCAAGAGTCCATCTCAAAATAAATAAATAAATAAATACAAATAAAATAAATGAATGATTTTGGGGGGGCAGAGAAAGGGTCTTGTCATATTACCCCAGTTGATCCTTAACTGCTGGGCTCACTTGACCCTCCCACCGTGGCCTTGTAAAGTCCTGGGATGACAGGCATGAGCCACTACACCCAGCCAGAGCATTAGAAAGCTGCATGCTGTGGAAAACTTACATATTTGGTGTCAAAACTGTTGCAGGCTTAGAAAAAGAGTCTTTGTCTTTCAAGGTTGTGTAACCTGCAAAGCAGAACTGGCAGTGAAACCACAGTGCTCTTGATTTGTGGGTGCGTTCATGTTATAATTCTAATTCTTTCAAGCAAGACATCATTGTGTATCATTTTTTAACCCATAATAACTCTGGGTGCAATCACGTGTTTGTTGTAATATTTTAAAAGTTTAGTTTGCAGCCGGGCATGGTGGCTCATACCTGTAATCCCAGCACTTTGGGAGGCTGAGGTGGGAGAATCACTTGAGGTCAGGAGTTTAAGACAAGCCTGACCAACATGGTGAAACCCCGTCTCTACTAAAAATACAAAATTAGCCAGGCGTGACATAATCCCAACTACTTGGGAGGCTAAGGCAGGAGAATCGCTTGAGGTCAGGAGTTTAAGACGAGCCTGACCAACATGGTGAAACCCCGTCTCTACCAAAAATACAAAATTAGCCAGGCGTGACATAATCCCAACTACTTGGGAGGCTGAGGCAGGAGAATCGCTTGAATCCAGGAGGCTGAGGTTGCAGTGTGCTGAGATGGCACCTTTGCACTTCAGCCTGGGCAACAAGAACCAACCTCTGTCTCAAAAAAAAAAAAAAAAAAAAATACAGTTTGGGCTGGGTGTGATGGCTCACACCTTTAATCCCAGTGTTTTGGGAGGCCGAGGTGGGAGGACTGCTTGAGGCCAGGAGTTCTAGACCAGCCTAGGCAACATAGCAAAATCACATCTCTACAAAAAATTAAAAGATTAGCCAGGTGTAGTGGTGCACACCTATAGTCCCAGCTACTTAGAGAAGCTGAGATGGGAGGATTGCTTGAGCCTAGAATTTCATGGCAGCAGTGAGCTATGATTGTACCACTCTACTCCAACCCGGGCAAGAGTGAGACCCTGTCTTAAAATTTTTTAATTATCTAATTGAATCTAGCTGTGTACGTGTGTTTTTCAAAGTCAATAACAGGACTCTCATCGGCAGGCCAAGGTCGCTCCAGATGCCTTGGGCTCTGGCTGTCTTCATCCCCTTCAGCCTTAGAGAGGCAGCCTGGGATGGTTTCTGGGACATATATGCCATTGGTCACAGCCCAATCCTACCCCCGCCAGGAGAGTCAAGAACACACAATGCCGGGTGCAGTGGCTCATGCCTATAATCCCAGCACTTTGGGAGGCTGAGGCGGGTGGATCAACCAAGGTCAGGAGTTCAAAACCAGCCTGACCAACATGGCGAAATCCCATCTCTACTAAAAATCCGAAGAAATTAGGCGGGTGTGGTGGCGCGCACCCGTAACCCCAGCTACTCAGGAGGCTGAGGCAGGAGAATTGCTTGAACCCGGGAGGTGGAGGTTGCAGTGAGCTGAGATCGTGCATTGCACTCCAGCCCGGGCAACAAGAGTGAGACTCCGTCTCAAAAAACAAACAAGCAAACAAAGAGAACACACAAGACACAACGACCTTCAAAGAAAAAAAGATCACATTTTATTTGAACTATTATTTGAAAACAGCAAATGTGTCCATGCTCTTGATAAACCTACGTAGTATCTCATGCATAGAAAGAAGAAAAGCTAGGGTCTTTTATCCCCCTTTTCGCCCACCCCATCTTCCCCTCACCAAAATGTGGGATGAGCACAGATTTAAAGGCCCTTGGCCCCAAAACAGCATGGAGCAAACTGTCAGAAAGCCGAGAACCTTCTTAAAGTCATATCTTCCCAAAAATATTACACTGCCCGAGCTGACCCTTCACCCCAGTCCTCCATGTTCATTTCTTTAAAAAAAAAAAAATTGCTAGGCACGGTGGCTCACGCCTGTAATCCCAGCACTTTGGTAGGCCAAGGCAGGCAGATCACGTGGTCAAGAGATCGAGACCATCCTGGCCAACATAGTGAAACCCTGTCTCTTTAAAAAAAATTATGATTTACTTTTTTTTTTTTTTCCAACATAAAAGTTTGAGTAAGCCAGGTGTGGTGGCTCATGCCTGTAATCCCAGCACTTCGGGAGGCTGAGGTGGGTGGATCACTTGCAGCCAGGAGTTTGAGACCAGCTGCCCAACATGATGAAACCCTATCTCTACTAAAAATACAAAAATTAGGTGGCCGTGGTGGCATGCGCCTGTGGTCCCAGGTATTCAAGAGGCTGAGGCACAAGAATCCCTTGAACCCAGGAGGCAGAGGTTGCAGTGAGCCGAGATCGTGCCACTGCACTCCAGCCTGGGCAATGGAGCAAGACTTCGTCTCAAAAAAAAAAAAAAATTTGAACCAGGTCAGAAGAAGGGTAAAGAGTTGTCCCTGCCCTCCTTCCAGGATCTTCTCCCCAGCTCCAGAAAAGCAAGAGGCCACAGATGCTTGGAGCCATTCCTCAGGCCCTCCCCGCCAACCCCCGCCGAGGACCATATCGCCTGCTCCCTTGGGTTTTTCATAGACGAGACACATCCCTGGAGAGTGTTGCTAAGAAAAAGGAAAATTAGCCCTTCCCCCCATCACTATGGCTTCCCCAGTCCCCTAGTAGACCAGGAACAGACTCAGGGCTGGAGGCCTGGGCGGTGATTAGAGGGTGGTTCTGTTGCTGAGAAGTCTCTGAATGGGCACCCTGACACCCACTGGCCTGGCCCTAGAGGAAGCTTTCTTCTTCTTGGCATCCAGGTTCTTCATGTACCTCTGGACCCACTCCTGCCTGGGGTCGCCACAGAACTCATGGCCCTTCTTGGTGGTGAATCTGTGGAAGAAAGGAACAAGGAATCAGCTGAGGTCTCCAGAGATCTTGGCCCACCCCGCTTCATGGGGAGGAGGATGTGGATGCCCAGAGACAGTGAGGCCTCCTCAAAATTTGCTGACATGATGTCATCTTCCTTTTTTTTTTTTTAATTTTTTTTTTTTGAGACGGAGTTTCGCTCTTGTTACCCAGGCTGGAGTGCAATGGCGGGATCTCGGCTCACCGCAACCTCCGCCTCCTGGGTTCAGGCGATTCTCCTGCCTCAGCCTCCCGAGTAGCTGGGATTACAGGCACGCGCCACCATGCCCAGCTAATTTTTGGTATTTTTAGTAGAGACGGGGTTTCACCATGTTGACCAGGATGGTCTCGATCTCTTGACCTCATGATCCACCCACCTCGGCCTCCCAAAGTCCTGGGATTACAGGTGTGAGCCACCGCGCCCGGCCTGTCATCTTCCTTTTTTGATACAGGGTGTCTCACTTTGTCATCCAGGCTGCAATGCAGTGGCAATCATAGCTCACTGCAGCCTCAACTTCCCAGGCTCAAGCGATCCTCCTGCCTTAACCTTCGGAGTACCTGGGACTACAGGCACATGCCATCATGCCCAGCTAATTTTTTCTCTTTTTTTAGTTTTTAAAGAAACAGAGTCTCACTATGTTGCCCAGGTTGGTCTTAAGCAACCCTCCTGCCTCAGCCTCCTAAAGCACTGAGACAGACATGGACCACTTGTCATTCTGGCACTTTGGGAGGCTGAGATAGGAAGATCACTTGAGCCCTGGAGGCTGAGCTTGCAATGAGCTAAGATCATACAACTGCACTCCAGCCTAGGTGACAGAGACTCCACCTCAAAAAAAAAATCCTCCTCCTGGCTGGGTATGGTGGTTCATGCCTATAATCCTAGCACTTTGGAAGGCTGAGCCGGGAGGATCACTTGAGCCTAGGAGGTTGAGGCTGCAATGAGCTATGATTGTACCACTGCACTCCAGCCTGGGTGACAGAGCAAGACTCTCTTTAAAAAATTAAATGAAATTTTAAAAATAAATATATCCTCCTCCTAGTTTTATGGGCAAGGAAGTTGAGGCCCAGAGAGGTGGGGTGACTTCTCCAGGGATGCACGGAGCTGGGGCTGGCTGACCTTGCTTCTCAGGTCACCTTCCCCATGCCCTCCTGCTCCGTGCCCATGAAGGATACCTACATCACCCCTGCGTTGAGGCACATGCTCCCGTTGGTCAACTGGTAGCTGACCACTCGGTTCTCAGGAATTCTCTTGGAAATAAACAACATGCAGCAGGTAGAGGGGAGCAGCACAGAATCTAGAAGAGGAGAGAGAAGAGCCACGTCTTTTCCCAGCCTGCCCTCAGCTCTGTGCCTTGGAGCTGGAGTTTCAACCCTGCCCCAAACACTGCCAGTCCATTCACTGGGCTGCCCTTTCCCCGGTGCTTCCCTCCAGCCCTTCACCCTCCACCGTGCCATCCCAGCGATGCCCTTGGAACTGCGCTCTGCCCGAGGTCTTACCCGTAGGGATGATGTGGTGGGCACAGACAGCAAGGAACAGAAGGCTGGTTACGACGGTCATCGGGCTTGCCATGTCCCAGAGAGAAGCACCAGCTCAGGGCTCAAAGCTGATGTGCAGGAGGAAAGGACCTGGGGATAAAGAGCTCAGGTCCTTGCAGTGCACCCTAAACTCTCTCCCTCTGCCCTTTATGGAGCAACTAGAAGAAAACACGCCCCCCAGCCCCCTCCATGCTTCCTTGAAAACCCTGAAGCCTCTGTGGTCTGGAAAGAGGAAGTTGTTGTCCTGTCGTTCTCCAGCTGAGTCAATAGTTATTTTGGACTCTGAATGAAAGAGCTGGGGAAGGGAGCATCATCCCACCAAGTGCAAAAGTGTTGGATGTACTGTCAGCAGGCTCACGGGATCCTGGCTAGGGAAGGGGGCATCATCCCACCAAGTTCAAAAGTGTTGGATGTACTGTCAGCAGGCTCACGGGATCCTGGCTAGGGAAGGGAGCATCATCCCACCAAGTTCAAAAGTGTTGGATGTACTGTCAGCAGGCTCACGGGATCCTGGCTAGGGAAGGGGGCATCATCCCACCAAGTTCAAAAGTGTTGGATGTACTGTCAGCAGGCTCACGGGATCCTGGCTAGGGAAGGGGGCATCATCCCACCAAGTTCAAAAGTGTTGGATGCACTGTGAGCAGGCTCACGGGATCCTGGCTAGGGAAGGGGGCATCATCCCACCAAGTTCAAAAGTGTTGGATGTACTGTCAGCAGGCTCACGGGATCCTGGCTAGGGAAGGGGGCATCATCCCACCAAGTTCAAAAGTGTTGGATGCATTGTCAGCAGGCCTATGAGAGTGTCGCTCACTCCCTGTGGAATGCTGGGTAAGTCACTCACCTCTCTGAGCCTGTTACTTCAGCTGAAAACAGGCAGAGTCATCCCTATCTTCTCCCTTCCATTCATTCATTCATTCATTCACCAAATTCTTTATTAGGTATGTGTTCTGTGCCAGGCATTGGGAGGATTCTGATGGGGAGACGGATTTGTGATCAAGTGTGTGTAACAAACAATGAGAGGTGAGTTGGGCCACCTCCACAGTGGCTCACGCTTGTCATCCCAGTGCTTTGGAAGGTTTAAGTGGGAGGATCATTTGAGGTCTGGAGTTTGAGATCAGCCTGGGCAACATAGCAAGACTCTGTCTCCACAGAAGAAAGAAGAAAAAAAAAAGCCAGGTGTGGTAGTGCAGACTTACAGTCTTCGCTAGCTCTTGGGGAGGCTGAGGTAGAAGGATGACTTGAGCCCAGGAGTTCGAGGCTCCAGTGAGCTGTGATCACACCACTGCACTCCAGGCTGAGCAACAAAGCAATACCCTGCCTTAAAATCAATCAATAAAACAATCAGTCCATCAGTCAATCAGTGACAGGTCCTGACAGAGCAAAGCGGATGCCGTCAGGATCGCTTTCCATCAGCTCTTGATGGCCTTGAAGACCCAGCAGCCATCACCTGCATCCTCAAGTTGCCAGAGCCACTCAGTCATCAAGGCTCTAGAGAAGTGGGATGTGCCAGAAATTCACATCCTCTGGGGTGGCCAGTGCCTGCGAGAGGGATGCAGACACCAGGTCCAGCATGACCTACCCTGTGGCCTGAGTTTCCAACTGGGCCAAATCAGTTACTCTCTATGCAGCCGGACTTAGCTTGGCCCCTTCCCCCTTGACCAGCTTCTCTCGTGGAAGCATCTAATAAACCACATGACCATGAATCTCCGGGTCTGCTTTGGGGACCCTGACCCAGGACATGGCATGTTTTTGGGGGGCGGGAGGATGGGGAACATAGGTAGGCAAAACCAGGGGCCAGGAGCTCACACCTGAAATACCAGCAATTTAGGAGGCCATGGCGGGAGGATTGATTGAGGCCAGGAGTTTGAGACCAGCCAGTGAAACATAGCAAGAACCAAAAGAAATAGAAAAAGTAGCCAGGTATGATGGTATGCACCTGTAATCCTAGCTACTCAGGAGGCTGGGGCAGGAGGATTGCATGAGCCTAGGAGTTTGAGGCTGCAGTGAGCTAGGTGAGCACCACTGAACTCCAACCTGGGTGACACAGCATAACCCTGTCTCTTAAAAAAAAAAAAAAAAGGCTGGGTGAAGTGGCTCATGCCTGTCAACCCAGCCCTTTGGGAGGCTGAGGCAGGAAGATTATTTGAGCACAGGAATTCAAGACCAGCTTGGGCAACATAGCAAAACCCCATCTTTACAAAAAAAGAAAAGAAAAAGAAAGCAAACAAGCCAGGCAAGGTGGCTCACACCTGTAATCCCAGCACTTTGGGAGGCCAAGGTGGGCGGATAACCTGAGGTCTGGAGTTTGAGACCAGCCTGACCAATATGGAGAAACCCCGTCTCTACTAAGAATATAAAATTGACAGGGCCCGGTAGTGCCTGCCTGTAATCTCAGCTACTCGGGAGGCCGAGGCAGGAGAATGGCTTGAACCCAGGAGGCAGAGGTTGCGGTGAGCCGAGATCACACCATTGCACTCCAGCCTCGGCAAGAAGAGCAAAACTCTGTCTCACACACACAAAAAAAAGAAAACGAAACAAAACAAAACCACAGGAAAACTGGCCAATTTGCCAGGAGGAAATTCCAGGAGGGGCTCATAGCTGACAGCTGCATTGGGTTGGAGGACAAAAGGCACTGGCAATTATGCAGGACTTATAAGTTGTTATTATTATTTTTAAATAAACAGGCATGAGTTTATGACTGAAAGGACCCTATAAGTGATAATATCCAGTTTAGTTGGGAGGGACTGAGGTGAGTTTGTCAGACAGAATGGGACATGGCTCCATTCTCACTCTACCCCTCATTTCCAGGATCCCAGGTCAGGACCTCATGCTCAGAGACTCCCCTCACCACCACCCCATTCCCACGTTCACTCCCAAACCCTCCCTACGGTTCTCTCCATCCCCCTTCTCCGACCTTCCTGCTCTGAGATTCCAGGGTACACGCCAACATAGGACCTACACAGTGGCACAGTGGCAGTGCAGTGGCACAGTGGGAGCGCAGTGGCACTTGTCACTTGGAGGCCCATTGGATGTCTGTGTCTCGGTCTCGTGCTTGATCTGAACACCTTGAGATCAATTTCTCTACTCGCCAAGTGCAGAGCAAATCACCTGTGCCGTTGGCCAGCATTTGAAGAATGAATAGATGGTGGATCAACTCTGAGACAACTTCCTCTGTGGGTTTTGCCCCCAGCATGACTGGGGCCAGGGTGTCCACTGGGGAAGTCAGCCAGCAGGTCCCAAGACTGAAGTCGGGGAGGCTGGCAGCACCTGATCTCACTGCCCATGCTTACAGAGTGAAAAATGCCAACAGCCCAACTCAATGTTTCATTAGCCTAGTGCCGGCCCCAGTCCGCCCACCCCCCCATTAGCCAACAATAATTATCCTCTGCTGGCAGAGCAATTAGGGAGGATTGCTCCCTAAATGAGAAAAATCACAGGAAGACCCTTTATCCATGCAGAGGTCTTTTCTTTAACTTTTTTTTTTTTTTGAGACAGAGTTTCACTCTTGTTACCCAGACTGGAGTGCAATGGCACGATCTCGGCTCACCACAACCTCCGCCTCCTGGGTTCAGGCAATTCTCCTGCATCAGCCTCCTGAGTAGCTGGGATTACAGGCACATGCCACCATGCCCAGCTAATTTTGTATTTTTAGTAGAGACAGGGTTTCACCTTGTTGACCAGGATGGTCTCGATCTCTTGACCTCGTGATCCACCCGCCTCGGCCTCCCAAAGTGCTGGGATTACAGGCGTGAGCCACCGTGCCTGGCCAAACAAAAAATTTTTTTGAGACAAGGTCTCGCTCTGTTTCCCAGGCTGGAGCGCAGTGGTGCGATCATAGCAATTGCAGCTTCCAACTCCTGAGTCCAGGCGATTCTCCCGACTCAGCCTCCCGAGTAGCTGGGACAATAGGTGCAGGCCACCATGCCCAGCGAATTTTTTTCATTTTTAGTAGAGATGGGGTATCTCCCTATGTTGCCCAGGCTAGTCTCCAACTCCCGGCTTCAAACAATCCTCCCACCTCAACCTCCCAAAGCGCTGGGATTCCAGGCATGAGCCACCATTCCCGAGTCATCGTGATGCCTTATGACATCCCTTCTGATTTCTGCTCCTCAGTGATTCAGTAGGGATCCTGCTTGACTGCCTGCATTTTCTCACTCGGTAGGTACTGGGAGTGTGGAGAGGAGGAAGTTGTGGGGGAAAGGACAGCCAGGCAGAGGCAGCACTCAAAAGAGTGAGAGGCTGGGGTAAACAGGGCAGGGATGCCTGCCGCGCCCCATGTTGCAACAGGAGTGGGCGGGCAGAAGGTCACTGGGTGGGAGGGTGTGGGGTGGGGTGCTTCATCCCAGATTAGTAATACCCTTTAAGGGCTTTCCCAAGGCCTTAAAAAACAGAAAACATCCAACTTTTTTTTTTTTTTGGAGACGAGTTGTGCTTTTTCACCCCAGCTGCGGTGGAATGGCCTGATCTTGGCTCACTATAGCCTCCACCTCCCAGGTTCAAGTGATTCTTGTGCCTCAGCCTCCCAAGTAGCTGGGATTATAGGCACCTGTCACCATGCCTGGCTAATTTTTGTGTTTTTGGTGGAGGCAGGGTTTCACCACATTGGCCGGGCTGGTCTCCAACTCCTGACCTCAAGCGATTCACTCACCTCGGCCTCCCAAAGCGCTGGGATTGTAAGTGTGAGCTGCCACACCAGGCTAAAACACCCAATCTTGGTTTTTGTTTTGTTTTTTGAGATGAAGTCTCACTCTGTCCCGCAGGCTGGAGTGCAGTGATGTGATCTCAGCTCACCGCAACTTCTGCCCTCCAAGTTCAAGTGATTCTCCTGCCTCAGTCTCCCGAGTAGCTGGGATTACAGGTGCCCACCACCATGACTGGCTAATTTTTGTTTTTAGTGGAGCCAGGCTTTCACCATGTTGGCCAGGCTGGTCTCAAACTCCTGACCTTAAGTGATCCACCCACCTCAGCCTCCCAAAGTGCTGGGATGACAAGCATGAGCCACCGTGCCCAGCCAAAACACCCAAGTTTTATGCTCTTTACAGGGAAATTGTTAAGGCAGGGATTACCAACCCTGCTTTACGAGGGAAGAGCTGATGCCTTACACAAGAAAAGTGAGTAGACACCATCACGGGGTCACTTAGCTGCTGAAATGAAAAACTTCATCCTTTCCACTTGAAGTGGTGAAATCC